TCGTACTTCATAGATCTTTCAATTTTATGTTTTTCAATCTACTTGTTTATTTAATTTTGTATATACTGAGGTTTCTGGAAGAGATTTTTTGTCTGTGATGTTATTTGTTATGTTGTGATGGGTTTCATTTATTTTAACGTTTAATGTTGTTTGTCAAATATCTTCATCTTCATTTTCATTTTCTTTATCTCTTTTTGTAAATTTTATTTTTTTCTGCACCAATGTCCATCAGGTCGTGGATTAGAAGCAAGGGAGATAACTCAATCTTTAGAGAAAGGTGGTGTAGTATTAACAGGTAGGAATCTACTCCATTTTCTTTGGAATTTTGGTGCCATAGCTCTTTTGTGAGAGAGTTTGTTGTTAGTGTTAGATATCAACTGTGTGAAAGTCAATCATCGGACTAATAAGAACTAGATCAAACTTGTTGTGTTTTTATTAGCTTTCAGTTTTAATGTAACTACTTCAGTTAGGGTCTAACAACATTCATCTCAATAACATTTTGACCTAACCTGACCTCTACTTTAGCCAATCAAGTTTCTTCCCTCTCCATTGCCGGGATTTTGTGAGAGAGGGAGAAGAAATTTGATTGGTTTAAACAGGTCATCAGGTTAGGTCAAAAGATTATTGGGATGAATGTTCAAAAGGACCATCGTTAGACCTTCATTGAAGTGGCTACATTAAAAATAAAAGCTTATAAAAAAAAGAACAAAAATGTTGTATAATTAAACTGGCCAATCATTGTCATTGTCTGAATTTAAGATTTGACTAAATAAGTTTGAATTTGAATGTCATTGCCAGAATTTGACTATGTATCAATCTGAATTGAAATTTTAGGTGGACGAGATCGTCAAGGCGGTCCAATCATCACGTTTCCTAGTACTAGATTCCATGGTGATATAACACATCACGATATAACTAGCTGTTTAAACTACCTTCTTCAGATACCCAGGTTAGCCTGAAGTCTTCACAATATTTTTAGGGGGCTGAAAAAATTGTCAGGGACACTCATTGGAGGGATTTTGATTAAAACGAGGGCCAATGTGTTACAGGCTAAAGATCCCTGAGCGATAGAAAATCAAAAACCGATAAAGCTAATGTTGCTATCGCTGCAATTTTATGAGTAGTGGCGTTTTTAGGAAACATCAGGTGAGGGAGTCTAGCTGGGGTCTCACTATTTTCCAGGGAGGGGCACACACCATTCTTTCTATGTAAAATGATAATAAAATTTGGGGGGGGGGGGGCAAAGCTGGGCCGTCCTCTTTTCTGGAGCGGCCAAGGCCCCCCAGGCTCGCCCATAAAAAGGCCACTATTTAGCAGATATTAATTTTACTTTGTTTATCTACCTGTATTTATAATAACCATCCTTTATATGTTTTTTACAACATGAACTGTAATTGGTTGGATCTAATATTATTTTATAAATGTTTATTTTTTGTAATTTTAGTGATGAAACCAAGCGTCGAGGATTCACTGTAATTGTGGACAATCGAGAAAATTCTTGGTCTAATTTAGTAACCGTACTAGGATGTTTAAAGGTATGTTGTCAGTTTATTATAATACCAACTCATAGGCAATAAGCAAATAGAAATATGTGTTCTGGCAAAATTTCTCTTTGCACTTTGCATGGTGCTGCATGTCTGTCCAAAAAAGCACTGGACAGAAAGGACAAAAACAACCGTCCCATTTCAATAGAGTTTATAGAGAGATTAAAATATAAACTGAGTAGATGACAAATTAGTGTTAGTTTGGGTAGAATTTCTCATATTTCGTGTTTTAAAGCAATCCATTTTTATTTTGGCTATCATTTTTTTCCAGCAATGTTTAGGAGACTATTTGAAGGAAATATATGTTTTACAGAGGGAGTATGACAGAAGAGCCAGTCTTGTCAAAAACACTCCTAGTTTCAATATACAGGTAATATTTATAATGATTGAGGCTTTCAGAGTAAAAACTTGATTACCCATATTTTGTTATCACAATCAGCAACAACCTTAAAGCCACTGAAAGCAATTTGGTCAACCTATATTTACATTTTTACCCTCTGTTCTTCCTGATGCCCTTCAGCAAAGAGTTTTTCATTTCGGCATATTTCTGGAGAATCTGAAAAGCTAACAATATTTATTGGGTATTATGTCCCTGGTATTGCAGCATTGCAGAGTTCTCATTGGCTATTGCAACTCTTGTTCTAATGACTAATGGATTTTGATTTTGTAAATTCCAGCCTCAGTTTTTAGTAGAGGGTCAGCTACACGGAGTAATAGACAGGAATCAGCTACCTGAAGAAGTTGGAGGATATCTAACGTATAATCACAGTGTATGGCTACAAAATATACTGGTAGGTTCACAGAGGCTGGTCTGGCTTTGGCCCCCCACTTTTAAATGTTTTATCATTTTGTGCGATTCAGCAAAAGCACAACACATAAGTTTAGAGTCGATTATTTGAGCTGCCGTGGCGGTCATGTCCAGAATAAAGAGCCAAATCAACAGTCTTGGTTTAGACTCTGTCACTTTCTGAGCATTGTTAGCAGTCTCACTCGTAGTTATGTTTTAATATCAGTAATTACTGCATGTGAGAAATTGGTGACAGTTTGAATTGATGCTATACCTTTAAAATACGTATAGGAAAACTGAGTACTAGGATTTGAATTCTGAAAATTGTTATAAAAAATAGAATAAAGCTTTATCAGTTACTTAAGCAACTATCCTATAGCTAAATCCTGTTTATTCATTGCTACATACAGACATAGTTTAAAAATAAAACTAACCTGTCTCAGGACGGTCTAAACCCAGGTCACGTTCCCTGTTGGTGGGTGAACAATCCAACCTCCAATCGTAAAGAGTTCCCTATCAGTAGGGTAAAACTAACTTGTCTCACGACGGTCTAAACCCAGCTCACGTTCCTTGTTGGTGGGTGAACAATCCAGCCCCTGTAAGTAAAGAGTTCCCTACCAGTAGGGTAAAACTAACCTGTCTAAACCCAGCTCACGTTCCCTGTTGGTGGGTGATCAATCCAACCCCCGTAAGTAAAGAGTTCACTACCAGTAGGGTAAAACTAACCTGTCTCATGACAGTCTAAACCCAGCTCACGTTCCCTGTTGGTGGGTGAACAATACAACCTCCAATCGTAAAGAGTTCCCTACCAGTAGGGTAAAACTAACCTGTCTCACAACGGTCTAAACCCAGCTCACGTTCCTTGTTGATGGGTGAACAATCCAGCCCCCGTAAGTAAAGAGTTCCCTACCAGTAGGGTAAAACTAACCTGTCTAAACCCAGCTCACGTTCTCTGTTGGTGGGTGAACAATCCAACCCTCCAATCGTAAAGAGTTCCCTACCAGTAGGGTAAAACTAATCTGTCTCACGACGGTCTAAACCCAGCTCACGTTCCCTGTTGGTGGGTGAAGAATCCAACGCTTGACAAATTCTGCTTCAGAGTTAAACAGTTATCTAGACGGCTAAATCCTGTTGCTAAAGACAGATATAGTAAATAAAGCTAATAAACAGAATTGTTTTGAATGTTTCTGCCCTGTCAGTATGGTAATGTATTATTTCAGGCTCAAGAAAAGTTTATGAGAGAAGCTCAATCTATGGTGCAGCATCTTGACAATGAGGAAATCAAGATCCAGAGAACCTATAATCTGAAAGATCCACAAGCTAGTCCATTAGAAGCTCTGAGACAGCACCGTTACTTTCAGGATTCCCTTATGACTGGTCCTACAGAAGTTCTTCGAAAAGGTGAGGCCTTAAACAGATAGTTCTGGAAGTTAGATTATTATATTTACATTTTACTATCACATGCTACAGTGAAAAAATGTGAAAAATTTGCATTCATTTAATGATGAACTACAAATTTCCTTAGTGATCTCCGTTAACGTAATGACGTCATAATGACATGATCTCCAATGACAATGCTATTATTGGCAGAAAGGTTATCAATATCAGTCGTAACTAACAAGGGATGTAACTCTTGTAAGAACTTGTATCCAAACGGTCTAATTATCCATAATTTGTGATTGAAATATTTACCCTTTTTTCACCTTTCTAAATGTGGGGTGTCTAAATGTCAATAATGAAGAAGATGGGGGACCTATTATAATATGTTGTATCAATATTTAGGTAGAGAAGTCTTATCAAACCTCCAGAGATCTGGAAATGGACGATTTCGCAGCGGTAAAGATTCTATCAGCACACTGGATAATCTGGAAGCAGAAAAACAAATCAAGAGAGTTATCCAATACCTTGAGAATCGTGTTGATAAACTTCGTGATTTTCTAGAAGATCGAGATAAATCATTGAATTCAAATATTCAATCTGAAGACTGGAAACGTTGTGTTAAAACAGTAAGTCTGGAAGGGAGGGGGGTGCAGAGGGGGCAGCCATAAAAGCAAGTTTTTCGGGCAAAAATCTCATAAATAGGTTAGAGATTCGGGCAATCTCAGATATCTCATCCCCCCTCAACGAACGTAAACCTGGCTCGGCCATTGCCGCTACAAGAAAGTCTGGAACTAAGTGTTAATCATACCAAGACCGAGAGGTCAGAGAGGTCAGAGAGGTCAGAGAGGTGAAGACTATTGTCTGAGAAAAGTAAACAGTTTTTTTAATTTTATCCATTATTTTTATGGTAATTGGAATATCAGCCTCAAAATTGTATTGTTAGTCTACAATTGTAAGTTTACATTAAAAAGAAACGCATTTCCCTCCAAAGAATTTCAACCCAAAAAAGTCACAAATTTTGATTGAAAATTTTCCTCTGTAAAAACAAATTTTGAAGACATAATGTGTGCTTATGTTTATATTTATAAAAAAAATTCAAAAAACTTTTTACTTTGTAAATGTCATCTAGATATCATATTTTGGGGATTTTGTTTAATTCCCCAAATTCATAAGAATTTAAAAAGAGGAGGGTGTCTCTGGTTCTAATTTTCTAAGTCTTGAATCACTCAGTCAGCATCAGTTTATCTGATAAGAAACAATGCTGTTAATATCAGAAAATGTTGAATTTAATGTATACAAAGATTCATTGCTATGGCATTACTCTTTCCGAGTCAGCCTATGAACTTTTTAACCCCCTCCCCTTGTTTATTCATTCTTTATTTTGTGGTAACTTACAGGTTGTTAATTGGATATTGGGACCAGGTGAGAAACTACTGGCATCTCGAACTGATATCGGGGATTCTTTTGAATCAGCTCAAGAATTGTGGAAGAGACATGAAGAAATGGAGATTAAATGCACTGTAAGATTTCTATATTTTATTCCTTTACTTTTCGTCTTGTGATATGTATCCTTAGATCCTAGATTGCTATCCTTGTAAAATCATTGTTTGTCCAAGATCAGCTGACGTACAGGATCAGGATTATCCAGGAACCAGCTGGTAGAAAGAACCTTGAGAATCGAAATTATTGTCAAGATTATGCAGGGACCAGCTGGTAGAAAGACCCTTGAGAATCGAAGTTATTGTCAAGATTAGCCAGGGACCAGCTGGTAGGAAGACCCTTGAGAATCAAAGTTATTGTCAAGATTATCCAGGGACCAGCTGGTAGAAAAAACCCTTGAGAATCAAAGTTATTGTCAAGATTATTCAGGGACCAGCTGGTAGAAAAAAACCCTTGAGAATCGAAGTTATTGTCAAGATTATCCAGGAACCAGCTGGTAGAAAGACTCTTGAGAATCAAAGTTATTGTCAAGATTATCCAGGGACCAGCTGGTAGAAAAAACCCTTGAGAATCAAAGTTATTGTCAAGATTATCCAGGGACCAGCTGGTAGAAGACCCTTGAGAATCAAAGTTATTGTCAAGATTATCCAGGGACCAGTTGGTAGAGAGACCCTTGAGAATCAAAGTTATTGTCAAGATTATCCAGGAACCAGCTGGTAGAGAGACCCTTGAGAATCAAAGTTATTGTCAAGATTATCCAGGGACCAGCTGGTAGAGAGACCCTTGAGAATCAAAGTTATTGTCAAGATTATCCAGGGACCAGCTGGTAGAAAGACCCTTGAAAATCGAAGTTATTGTCCAGATTATCCAGGGACCAGCTGGTAGAGAGACCCTTGAGAATCGAAATTATTGTCAAGATTATCCAGGAACCAGCTGGTAGGAAGACCCTTGAGAATCGAAGTTATTGTCAAGATTATCCAGGGACCAGCTGGTAGAAAGACCCTTGAGAACAGTTTTCTCATCAGTCCCGAGAATGGTTTTCTGTCTTTAATGATACACAATTACTTAGTGTCAAAAGAATGTGTTAACTGATCTATGATTGGTCAATTGACTTTGTAACTTTCAATGTAATTGTGCGAAATTCTCTGTTTTCAGGACACCTATGGACAATATGCAGAATTACGTCATCAAGGGGAAGAACTCATCAATGAAGAGACGATTGTGTCGAGTGATATACGGGCTGAAAGAGACTACATGGATACAATATCACGTAGTTTTGCTGCGAGACTAGAGCGTCGGAGGATATTATTGATTACATCAGTTCGTTTCCACAGGTTTGCTGAAGAGGTAAGATTGGTTAATGGTTGTTGGTTCAAATGCTTTCTCTCATAATGAATTAGAATAAGTTTTCAATACCAATTGGTTGTTTTTATTAAAGACTTTTTGTGACAGTACATGACAATGGGACAAATCTGTTTGGTGTGTTGAAAGAATTTTATACAGTTGTATTGGAAGGATGCATGAAATCAAAAATGACTTATTTCTAACAATTTTTGCTATATGAAAAGACATTCAGAATTAACTTGGTACTCAGATATCAAGTAATATTATACTACTAACCCTTGAACGATATTTAGGTGTAGAGATCACATTGAATAAAGGAACACGATTTTATGGAATACTACTCCTTAGTTTTGTTGGATGCAATGTTATATGGTATACTACTCCTGAGTTTTATTGTACACAATGTTTCAACAATTTACATTGTCATCATTAGTTTATATTGTAGGCCTATACTACTCCAGAGTTTATTGTACGCAATGTTTCAACAAATGTGAAATGTGAAAATGTGTTCTGTTATTTAGTATCATATTACTGGTTTTTTTTCAGTTTGCCCATCAGCTGGATGCTCTACTAGAACTAGTTGTGTCTGATATCTCAGCAGAAACAGTGGAAGAAGCGGAGGCCGCCATTAAACAACTTAATGAAATGTGTCAAGCCATTGGTATGTATCATGGAATTTATTTTTTTTCGGATTCTTGTCTTGAACCTAAAGCTATGCGATATTTAACAAAGGCTTTTTTTCTGTGGATCTCTGAATGTAAAACTGGACGATTTATGACAAAGAATCGTAGTGAACAAAAGGCTCTCAAAGACAACACAAAATAAAGAAACCCAAATGCTTGAACATTTTTCTTTAATTGAAATAATTTTATTCAGAAAAGAGTTAGGCAGTATTAATGAAGGAAATGCTGTATTAAGTGCAATAAAGTCATTTTGAATGGCCTTATTCTTTGAAGAGTTAAACGGAATGGTCATTTTGAACGTATAATCTTATCTAATTTACAACTTTTATGTTCGTTATAGATCACGCAGCGCAACAGACGTTAAATGATGGTCAGAGTTTATTGGACGAAATGTCGCGACCAATCAAAAATGCGTTTGGTAAAGACATTACGCCAGATTATGACGGCCATATTAAAAGAATCAATCAGAAACTAGAAGATTTACAGGAAAGAAAGATGAGATGTGATGAACTAGCAGATGTCAGAAAACTAAAATTACAGCAGATTCTACAGTTGAGAACTTGTGAACGAGATGCTGATAAGGTGCTTTGTTTTATACATTTTGTAGACACTATATTATTATTGCTCTTGTCTTGTTCCACTGCTGTATTTTTAAAGGAGCTTAGAGTTTTTTTGTTTTTTTTTCAAATTCTTTACTCATATTACTATTCAAAATAAAGTTAGTGTTAGGGTGTATTGAGACGAGTCTCAATGAAAGCACTGGCCTAGGTCACAGAGCAATAGATAAGTCTATTAATTATGTGAAAATTAGTTAGTCATTAGTATGATTTTAGTTGAAAAGACACAAACACAAAAATACACTGCATGTTATATAATATACTGTATATAGCCATGGTACCAGGTTATCAACTTTATAAAAAATTTGATATTTACATAATCATATAATCATTCACACACACACACACCCACACACACACACACACGCACACACGTTCACATTATTTGAAAATATACGTTGTCTTGGGGTTAAGTCAAAAATAATATATAATAATAATTGGATAACTGCGTAAAAGGATCTTTAATCTGTTAGGTTCCAATAGTATCATCTGTTTCAAAGGCTTTTGGTTTCAACAAAAGCTGAATTTTGTAAGTATCGTTTGAAGCTATGTACAGTTGGAGCTTAGAGTTTGATACAGGCTATTCTGTATGTAAAATGATAAGTGGGGATTAGGTGGGGGAGGGGGGTAAAATATGACAGTTATCATGTTGATGGCCTGAAAGAGACATCATTCCTTACTTCCCTGGTGAACTTTGTTGCATTGTAAGAAATCTAGTGGATTTATTGAAATAAAAAGGGATACAGCTAGCTGAATGTGATCTATATCAAAGGAAACAAGCAATGGTGTCATCTGATGTAAGGAAAACGCTGCAGAGTCTAACTTAATTTATTTAATTAAATTCAGGCCATTGATTGGATAGAAGAATTGTGTACTGTCATGGTAACGGAACATAATGATTTGGGTAAAAATCAACCAGAGTCAGAATCTCTTCAAGATCAACACAGAAAGTTCGAATCTACTGCAGCTGTAAGTTTTTATAGCTAATTGTATTAATATATTATATTATCGTCACCTATCTTGAAGATGTGACCTCACCTAATTAGTGTCTACTGTCTGGTGACTTCTGGATCACAGTATATAGATCTCAAAGAGAAGTCAATGTCTATTGACGTATTACAAGGAATTCTGAAATATCATCGAAACTTATTGTTATATATTAAAAGTTAATTATTTTATTGTTAATTGAAATATTTTCAGGGAACATATGAATATGGTAAACAGTTGTTACAAGGGGCGTTAGTTTTACGTCGTTCATTACGATACGAGTTGGAACCTAATAATGAGAGAGTCTACAGACTGGAAGAGGCGTGGAAGAAATTTACACAAGGAACAAGTGAAAGAACCAACAGACTGACTGTAGCTTCTATGTTTATGACAGCTTCTGATAAGGTAAGGATTAAGAGGATTTCTTGCTGTCTAGTATATCAGTGGATCAGAGCAGGAATAACATAACAAACCAAAGAAATGACTGGGTATAAGAGTGTTATTTGGCCAATTTCATTATGAATTTTTGCTACTGAAGTCCCTGATACAAGGCTTATTATCTGCTAAATGAAGCATGGTAGAAATATATATTAATTTTCAGACCTGTTGAAAAGACAATGTGGCTTTGTTTTGCTGTATCATTCATTGGTAGTGTTGCATAACATAACTTGCTCTCTCAGTAACCCAAAAAGGTGCCCAAAACAGGATGGGAAAATCCCTAAAAATCCCTTAAACTTAAATCCTTGAAGACTCATTGATAGTCAATGTTAATCTCTTGATATTTATATGTTTTATAGGTGAATGATAGAATAGAACAGATATTGGTAGTTATTAGTCAGGCGTTAGATAATCAGATTACTGTAGACGAGGTTCTCACTCAATATCAGATACCTAAAGATAAAGTTATCAAAGATTATGAGGACACGCTTCAAATGGGACGTGCGTTACTAGACAGAATTTCTCTTCCTGTTCTTATTGATAATAGGTATGTAGGTTGTTTTAAAATCAATTTGACACCCCCTTTTACCTTAATTGAACTTTCCCACATGTGCATATTTTCATTAAATTAGATATGTTCTTTGTTTGAAAAGATGAGCCTATTTATTAAGTAAGGTGTCTATGGTTTCCAAATTATTTCCAGCCATAAGTAGGTACAATGTGTTCATTGTGGTGTCTTAATTTTCAACAATTCATAAATCCTCATGAAATATAATAGATATAAGAATAAGAAGCAAGGACTTTACAATACCATATACTGATCCACAAAATTAAGATCCCAGAAAAATGAATGACTATTGTCTAAACAAAGTAAAAAGTTTTTTGAATTTTTCCCATTATTTTTATGAGAATTAGAATAGCAGCCTCAAAATAATACTGTTAGTCTAAGATTGTTTTTTCATTGATAAAAATATAAACATAAGAACACATTATGTCTTCAAAATTTGTTTTTACAAAGGACAATTTTCAGCCAAAATTTGTGACATTTTTTTGTAAATGTGTTTCTATTCAATGTAAACTTACAAAAAATTATATTTTTTATCAAACACATTCTAAGACAATCAGAACTATTTTGAGGATGATATTCCAATTCTCCAAAAAAATATATTGGAAAAAATTCAAAAACCATTTTTAATTTACTCAGACAATAATCCACATTACTGAAATCACAGAAAAGTGAATGAGGGACAATTATCATGTACATCCTTCTTCTCCGCAAAGAAAGAAGGAGCTCGAGAATGGTTTGAAATGCCTCACACAATCTTGTCCTGTTTTTTTAGACATGGACCCACAAATATAGACACAGACAAAGCCGTTGACACCATCAACACCAAGTTACGAAGGATGGACCGAAAGGCTGGAGATCTCCAAAAATACTGGTCAGAATTAGTCCAAAATAGAAACAATCCAAATTTTGTGCCCAAATTAACACGTACACCATCAAGACGGAAGGTTGCTGATGTTCAAGAAGCCCCGAGACGAAGTCCAAGTAAGAGGTCAGCTCGACAGAAGTCGTTGGATGGTAAGGATAAAACCAAGCAGCAGATACAAGGTAAGGTCAAGGTCAAGCTATTATCATATTTAGCAGAGCTCATCTCATACTGCCAACACATGTTTCGGATACAAAATCTTAATCAAGGCAACTACTTTGGAAATAGGGGTTAAACTTTTCAATAAAGGGCTTGATTTTAGTTAAGTGACAAATGTTTGGGATACACTCAGGGATTGTTAGAAAGGTTTTTGAGAAAGATGGCAAACAGAATGACAGAGTGTTCCAAGCATGCCTAGTGGCATTTCTATGGGGGAGCAGGTGGGGGGTAGCCCTCTCCTCCTCCACCGCCCCCACAAATATTGAAAGAATGGACTGAGTCCCCCCTAAAATATTGCCCCTGCTCAGTCCCCTCAACTGATGTTTCCTAGAAAAGTCACTGAGCATATCCTCACAGTGTACATGACATTCTGAGAAGTTTTAGGTTGGATGTAACCAATAATTGCAAGAAAGTTACACATGTTACCATCATGGTGTTCAAGTTTATTTACTGATTACCTCATAAGACTCATAGATTGGTTTAAAAATTTAGTTTTGTTTTACATTGTTTTCAGGATCCCCAAGGTCTAATAATCAGAGTTCACCCAAATACCCAGAAATAGAACAGAGAATAGCAGCCATTAGAAGTTACCAACAAGCTTCAGCATTGGGTCTGCCCCATCCTCAAGGTAGGATAATTAATCTTGTTCAGTTGGAATTGATTTTTTGGTAAAAAGAGCTCCTTATTAGCTATGTGGACTCTCTGAAAGAGATGCATAATAGACAAACCAATATTCTAAATAAACTTTATAAGCTATATTAACTTTCGTGAAGGGATGCAGAGTGGACAAACCTACATACCAATTAGCCAATATCTTTATGGACTATCTGAATTTTTTTTTAAAATCCAAATTCCAATCAAAGAGATGCTGCATTAACAAACCTAACAAACCAATACTCAGCCATGCTAAATAGTTGTTATTTTTCTCATGCTACTGTCAAAGGTTTTCTCATCCCTACAGCAAGTTTGACATGGCAGAAAACAAATTGTTTTGGTTGCAAAATATTGTGGATCAATCTAATCACCAATATCAATGTTTCATTTTTTGGACCCACAATCTTGGCATTTTTCAGTTTAAGGATTTTCCTAGTGGATAATTCTATTAAAGATGGGTTTCCTTGTTTTTTAGAGTCGAATTAAGCAAACTATTAGATTAATTGGTGTTTCTAATGAATTATCATGTATTCTTAATCATATCATTATGTTCTTATTGCATATAATTATTACTAATCATAAATGTTCATGTATGTACAGTCTTGATAAACTTAAAAAGACTTTTTGACCTTTTTTGATCGGTCACTCAATGGAATTCTGCTGGTAATTCTCTTCTAATTTAGCTAATTATGAATTAATTATGGACATTTGAGACAAACTGGTATTTTTCCAAGTCATGAGAAAACCTCTATTTTCTGTTCATATAAGTATTAGCATTTCCAGGGAACCCATCTTCAATATTTGATACGCTAAATCCCATTTCAATAAATTCTTTTATTATAGATTCATCAATGCAGTCCCAAAATTCATCAGCATTAGAACCTAATATTTCTCGAGAGTCATACCAAGGTCAAAGTTCATCCCCTGGTTACCCTGGAGACTCTTTTCACCGAATGGACTACTCTCATCCCAGCAGTCTGAATTATTCTGCAGCCATGCAAGATCTCCCTGGTAACCGAGGTTCAAGGTCAAGTTATCAAGGTCAAGGACAGTCACCTGACTACCCTGGAAATCGTGGATCAAGATCTAGTTACCAATCCAACCAATCTTCACTAGATTATCCAGACAAAAGGAACTCTAGATCCAAGTATCCAGGCAACCAAGCTCCCAACTACCCTGGCAACAGAGATTCAAGATCAAGTTACCATGGCAGCCAGCCTTCAATTCACGAACATCCTGGTAACAGAGATTCAAGAACAAGTTACCATGGCAGCCAACCATCAATTTATGAACAACCTGGTAACCGAGATTCAAGATCGAGTTACCAAGGCAGCCAACTTTTGCCAATTCATGCAGATGAACAGCTTCAGTCTGTTCGAGCAAAGCCTGTGTATATCCAGCCCAAGAATCAATCTCAAGATTTGTATCAAGATCTCAGTGAGGTGAGTCAACTTTTTATGCCAAATATTGAAATTGTGAAAGATCCTTGCTTTTGAACAAAATGTGGAACAAAATTATTTCCTCTGTCTGAATATTTTTTTCGTGAAAATGTGAATTGCTCCAAGAAAAAAATAGAAAAATTATCTCGCTTGATGAACTATAAAATAACACTTATGAAATGAATGGAGTTTAACATCCTACTTTTCTGCACCATGTGGGCTAATGAAGACGGGCAATGCCATGTAGGGTGCAATGAGGGAAATATTGCCAGGACAGCGGCATTAATCTGCTCTTTTTCATTTTCCCAACCTAACATCTAGATGCTTTCCCATGTCAGCCCCTCTTACCTGTATCACTGACGGGGGAAACCGGTTTGAAAAATTTAAAGGTATCATCTTGAACCCTTGACCTTGCAAACGCTTATTGCAAAAAAAAAAATACTGAATGGTAATAGGGAAGGGAAAAAGGAGACAATTGTTGTAATTCTTCTAAATGTTGTACTATGGTTTTTGTCTGTAGCATTTATATGGAGTAGTCTCCCTTACACTAGTTGTAACTCATCATAGCCCACACCATTTTGCAACTGTTTTCTGTCTTCATTGTCATTTAATAACAAAGTAGCCTACATAACGTTCCAACACAATTTACACGTGTCGTCATCAGATGAAAATGAAAATGTTTTCTGTTATAAGAACTTATATATAGGTTTTATTATTATATTTAAGAACTTGTTATTGATAATGAATCAGCCCTACCTTTGAAACTTTTTGTAAACAGTTTCTCTTCAAATAGAACGTTTGGGAAACATTGAGAATGGGAACTTGTTTTTGTGGCTCTGTCTGTGATCCATAATCCTCTCCACAATTGCACTTGTTGGTTGTGCAGATAGTCAATTTATCCTATTCAAAACCCTATTATACTTTTTTTCATTTTTGAGAACAACGGTAGGTTTTTTGAGAAGAATCTGTTATAAGGTTTTATAAGAGAAACTCTCTTACAGAAGCACTGGCCTAGGTCACAAGTAGATTATGGATTTCATCATTGGAATACATCAATTTGATAGAAAATTACCTACTTCTGGAGAGATTTACAAGATAAACAAATAATTCAGAAATGCAAAGCGATTGTTTCAGGGAGTTAATGAAAGGGGATCTAATCTACCATGGACAAGAACATTGCTTAGATTTTCATTTCTTTTGTAAGCAGTCACCAAACGTTTGGTATAGATGTTTGGGAATTCGTTCTGAAGTTCTTTATAAAAGCGTTTGTTAGAGGCTTGTGGCATGA